GGGTAGCTCAATGGATCGCTGAGGTGCGCAAATCGTCACACCACGGTAAGGTCCAGTCTCTTCGTGAACATCAAAAGGTCGAGCCCATATGGATTATTGTATCTGCCTGATGGCTTTGCGCGAGTTTCTGCTGCGAACGAGGAGGAGTCACCCTTGGGATTTACCCTTAAGGTCCAGTCTCTTCGTGAACATCAAGATGTCGAGCCCATATGGATTATTGTATCTGCCTGATGGCTTTGCGCGAGTTTCTGCTGCGAACGAGGAGGAGTCACCCTTGGTGATTTACCCTATGTTCAAGTACATTGTTTCCAGTGTAGAATTTAAGCGAGAACCACCACGCCTTAGCTGAACAGATCGCCTATGAGTGGGTTCGATCTGTACTTCAATTGAAGCCAACCTATGTTAGTACACAGCACAGGAGTTATCTACAGTGTTGGATCGGACATGTTTCCATCGAGCACATCGTCACCTACATTGTCGCATACGTGAACCTTGTTTACTGCTTCTCTGCCACTAGACACAATCGTCTTTTGCTGCACTCTTTACTGAACTACTGACCACTTCGTTTAGATTTCTTGTTTTCAGCTGTCGAAACTCCCCTCTTGACGAGTCTAATTGGTATGAAGAGTTACTGTCACTCTAGAAGCAAGGAAATCTATGCGTGATTGTCTCATACCTGAAAATATCACGCTGGACAGTCTACTGATGCTTACATAAGTTTTAGTGAGTTCATAAGCGTGGAACAAACACGCTGTAACAATAAAAATGTTACTGGTGACCGGATTTAATGCGAAACATTCAACGCTTGTTGGCTGAGTTCGGCAGTTGAGCTGGACTTTCGTATATCCTCGAGCAGCTCGTACCTTTGATCCGACAGGCAGCTTTGGAAAACTGATGAATTATTTGTATCCTTAACAGAAGGTTAATATTCCTATGTGGGTATTTCAACCAAGTAGTTTTCTCAACTTATTATCAACGGTCATTCCTCCATTCCTAAGAGGCCTGAATTTTGCTTCATTTTGTTGATAGCTCAACTGTTGCCCAATCCGAGGATAAATCTGTGACAAAGACCGCACATCCAATCGTCCCTTTTGAAGCCATCGAGGATGCCATGCGCGCAAGCGAGCGCAACCCAAGTGGCAAGGGTTCTCCCAGTCCTGATGCATGCCAATTGGAAGAGCTTCGCAACGATCTTGACCTGTTGAACAATTTGCTGTCCCCAGGAAACGACGAAACCACTCTACGAGACGGGGATGATGTACATAATAATCCACACGAAGGGCCATCCTCTGACGTTGATGTTAACATTTCTAGTGCGTCTGCTCCAGACTTACAAGAACTCGTCGATTCATCTGCCGATGCATCTCGGTCGCCTCTCGAGAATCTTAAAGGATCCATTGCTACCCGTACGCCCCAGTTTTTTGCAGGTTTTTATTATGCATTATACAGGTAGCTCTGCTTATTTGAATACAGGCGTTTACATGAAATTTATGACTAGTTGAAGGTTTGATGCGACAGGTTCAGTGCGTTCTGGCCATTCCTGAAGAAATAGTTGATATAAACTCTTAAGTTCTTACATCTGGTCATAGTATGCCAGTAGTCACCTTGAAACTGCATTCCTTGCACCACTAAGATACTGTGTCACAAAATAGTAAGCACCATAGGAACTTGTGACATCGTTGGACAAGGCATGGAAACATGTGTCCTTATTGGAATGACCCAACAAACAGCAGAATTTACTGCGTATTTCGTTCTTATCCGCCAGTTCGATTCTAACTTCTCCGTATGTTTTTGGTCACAAATGAACAGACAGAACTCATACCACATCGGTTTTTAGTCGTAGGGACATTAAGAAAAAAATTGAAACCATGAAGTCTGTTCGAATCACGTAGTCAACTGGTTTGTGGCAGATGATGCATAGTGCCATTGTCGGCGGTTACTGAAGGTATTCGGCGGGGATACAGTGCTTTCTACAATAGCTTTCCTGTCATACGATATTTAAGGGGTAAAATATTAGACGAAATCAATGAGGATACCTTAGTGAAGAAAATGAATTGATAGTTGTAGAATGTATCCAACTAGGGGTCGAGTCGAAGCGTAGACTTCGTACTCCATTTGAAAGCCAGCGATCACCCATGTATTGATAATATATCCAACTGATCTTTTCTGAATTACAGGCCTCCTCAAGGAGGAAGGAGATAAATCGCGTGTAGCGCAGCAAGTCGAAGGACCTATAAACGTCGGACGCCGCGGTTCACTAAGTCTCCATCCTGAAACCAACTGGTCCACGATGTCATTATACTCCTCGCCGAGTTCTTCATCTTCTTCGACTGCGGACACCCCCGTAGGTTCGGATGACGTCATTCAAGCTCCAGACAGTAATGATGTACCTTTGGATTTGCCCGCGTTTGATGCAGATCGTCCAGCGTTGGATGGTGGTTCAGGACGAATGGACGGTGTTGTGAATCTTTTGAGGTTTTTGGTTGCTGATTCCAACAAACGATCTCATCAGATGGAAGTGGTTCTAGGTGAGTGTATGGTTTAACTCTAAACTTTCCAACATAACATAACGTTGCGCTCTGTTCCGACCACAAATGAATGGGTTTCCGGGTCATTTCAATCATTTTCAAAATGTATTGATTCAGGTCGAACCTTGAAGGAAATTTTCGCGGTTTCAGTAACCCCCTCTGACACTTTCCTGCCATCTCGGTTTGGTGTTTGGGCCTAGCAGCATCTATCCGAACGTTTTTATTTCAGACTTTAGCGGTTGGATGCAGGATTATTTTATTCGACTGCATTAAAAAATTTCACACTGTTTTCGTATTATACGTACATGGAGAAATCTGTTGCGTTTGTTCACACCTTTCTCACTTCATGACCACCGATTCTTTATGGGTATGATGAATTCTGAGTGAGGATGAACTCAAAGCAAATTGTACTTCTCACCTTCTCCAACTTTCTTCAACCACCATTCCGATTTTCCAGACCTTTCAGCTAAGCTCTGTGTTCGTAGGTGACTACATATGCCTATCCTCATTCAGCTTGTCACAATCGGTCAAATGACTTTTTTTTTATACCTTGTGCTCTAAGTCTTGAACCTTCGTTTACCTGAAATTACTTGTGTCTGTCAGCTGGCAACATAAAGAGCACTCTTCTAACTTTGAGAACTCATCACCTACAACGTACTTGTGGTCGTAAGCCAGTTTGGTTCTCCGTTCAGCCGTTGAAGATGGTGTGACATCGAATGCCTATTTGTTTGGCTTCCGGTCTGTTATCCTCCTCTGTGGAGGTCGAATGCCTGAATGTGAGCATCTGATAACCTTCGACATTTGTTGCTGTCGTATTGTCGTGTCCGATTCGGGACAGCATCCCCTAATTTAAAGCGCATTTGATATCTTAGTCTGTCTGCGACTATCGTGTCTTTTGAAATACCACAGTGGGAGAAAAAACGAGTCATGGGCCAGCCGAGTAATTGCTAGCTGCAACGCTAGCGTTGACAACATCCATGAGTGAGGGAAGCAGATTTCATCGAAAAACCTGTGAGCACATTTCTGTTCTGCTTTTGTCAAAAGGAGTTTTGTATTCCCAGACTGAGTTCAAATGACACCATTTGTCTTTTTCACCTTTTGACTACACTCAGTAGTTCACACTCTCTTCGAAGTAGATAATTGATAACAAAATAGAAGTTACAATGTGAAAAGTGTGAAATTAGCCAGAAGAGACCCACCAACTTGGACCAGCAACAAATAGTAGCCTCGATAATTTCGTGCTATTCGGTTTCAAGTAGAACATAAGGTTTGCCGGAGACTCGAGGACTGCGCCTACCTGATGAGCCCCAAGAAGCGCGAAACCGGTCGTGGGCTGTCGACGAATTTTCAGCAACCTTATGAGTAGTGCCTTACGCAATTAGTAGCCTCCTTCTAGTGCGCCAGATTGCCGTTGAATAGAGTGTATCACTGACTGCCCGCTATCATCATATCTTGCACTGTCTTCACCGATTGGTTACCGACTATCCTGCAAGTTAGGTAGGAAAGCGTTTGTCAATCCCACTTAAAGGTGCTTGAGACCGTGCTTTTGGTTGACCACCTGACTTTTGATCACATGTAACGCGCTAGTTAGAAAGCCAATTAGTTCCATCCTGATATCCTATCATCAGATAAGCTGAAGCAAACCCAGGACCAACTGGACCGCATTTCGCAGGCGCAGATGGAATTGTCCAAGCGCCTCCAGACGTCAACCACTAATGGCACGCAACCTCCGGGATCGGCGCACTATTATGCATCAAAAACGTCCAGTGCATCAGATGGGGAATATTGCTACCCGAGTAGTCCAATGATGCAGACTAACCACTTGACGGCCACGGTGCAGCAGTCGACTGTTCAACAAGCCGGTACAGATGAGGGCAAACTGCCCGAATGGACCAAACAAATTCTCTTGCAATGTGAGTTATTATTTATCCTTCTGCCTAATTTTTGGCACGTGGAACGTCAGTGTCCTTTTGTAGAGCACAAGCCTAAAAGTTATGCGAGAGCGATGTAAGCTATCTATCGTCAAAACACCTTACACATCATTTTCTTTGGACAGTTTGACGATACTAGGCAAATGTGATGCTGTAAACGAGGTCACGTCAGTGAGGCAATCACTTGACCGTTGTTGATTCCCTAAGATTGTGTTGTCCGAATGGCGAGTGGATAGACACCAGGGGTCATGTCTGAGGAGTGAATACAGTTTGTCAGTCTGGGTGTCGCACAAGTTCACGTCACTTCGGATAGGGGTATCAAATGTGATATGTAGAATGCTGAATTGGGGGAACTCAAAGTCAACTGAAGGGACTAAGTACCACTTTTTGAATTTGCCATAATGCTTTAGATATTTGGGGCTGTGTCAAATCACTGCAAGTGGAATCCTTCTTATCTTTTGAAATCGGCAAGTAGGTTTAGTCGAAGTCATTCCCTTTTTGTGCCAGTCTTAGGGTCACATGATGGTTGGTTCAGTATAAAATTGCGACATGCAGGTCACCACTAGCATCCATTGCGCACATGTGACCGGCGTCGCGGCTTTGAGCATCACAAAACCTAGTCATGCCGCTCCTGACTGTTACGTACTAACTGTTCGTGGAATCCTGACTCAGACACTATGTTCTTGCGCATAACTGCCTGGTTTTGTCCAGTCGGCATGTAGCCCGTCAATAGTCCACGAAATCTCACTGAACCAACCCTGACCAAACCACTCCCTCCCCTATGGGGTCATCCCTACTACGTTAATGTTTGATAATTTACAGCAAAAATCTGACGCTGTGGGTCTCAACAACTGCTGATTGTCCTACAACTGTAGAGACACCTGGAATATGGTTCCATTCACCAAGTAAGTGTACTGGGTTTCAACCCAACTGGACATCTCAACGGACGAATTTGTAAGTAATAAACCAATAACGAAGCCCCTTTTATTCTCTCCTCGTCAGACTTCTGTTTGAATCCTAAATACTCCACAACGTTGCTTTCGTTCGCTGTCAATTCTTTCGATAAAACGAATTGTAATGTTATACCCAAGGCTCCATCTTTTGTCCGGTCTGAAAAGTGAGATAACCCCTGGTGTAAAGAATGGAAGTGTCGTTAAAAATGAACTGAGAACAATACAGAGACCTCTTTTGAACGTCTATCGGGTTTGCATAGAGGATATCGTGGTAGTCACACGTGTTAGTCCTCACCAGAAGTGGCTTCGTTTCGATACAATTTGGGAAGAGGATGTCTGGCAAGGAAAGAGGTTTGGTGGTGGATTGGGAACGTATTGCGAAAAGCCCTATCTCCTCAAGGTGTCCATATCTTCCGAAAATATTTGAAATAATCGGTTCTGAACACAATATTACGGCGAGGTGTCATCAACCAAACTACTGATTGCGAACTTCACCCAGCACAACGACGAACATCCGTCGGCTAGTTAGTCTGGCTAAGGAGTGAAAGCTCGCCACTGGGATCATTAGGGTTTCTGTCCGAATGATATGAGCATCACTTGGGTCCCATCCAGATAGGCCCCAAGATCTCACGGCGCTCAACCTGACGGTAATCGCTTCCACCTCGCCCCGCCTCGTCTTGGCCTGTCCGCCATGAATTTCTTGTCAATCGAGACTTCGGTGAGTAAGCGGCTGGTAAACAATATTGGGACATATGTACTACATGTTCCAATCACCTTACACCGGACAAGCTTTGATTACTGATCTTGCAAATACGACTATCCAGTATTCGCCGACGAAACATTTTGGTACGGGCTTGTCACGGTCAGTCGACTCCACGAAAATGTCGACTATCGAATATATGAAGTCGTCAGGTGTCTGGACTGTAAATTAAGTTAGATGTCACAACAATTTTGCAGGCAAAGTCTGTCATCCTCAGTGATATTCTTTTCTATAGCCGGTGATAGCCTCTGCGTGCCCATCAGCAAAAGTCCCTGTTTTCAGTCACTTACATCCGATAGACTGGGGATGATATAAAGTAGCATGGAAATCACACCTCATAAGTCATATTGATGAACAGCGGGCCAACAGACTGCAAATAGCCCACAGGAAGAGCAATCCTCGTGACGAGTGAAGTCGTCACTCGAAGAGCCATTGACTACATAATGTGAATTCCGTGATTAGAAGATGAGTAGCGTTATGCTGTCTTTGAATGCTAATCAATGAGACTACTGATCAGCCGCTCATCTACTTGTGGGGAGCGTTGAACGCGCACTGCTGACGGTCCCCAATAAGATTGAAACAGCTCTATCGTGTTTCTCAGCTTTTTGGTTTAGAGTGGCTTCATCTATAGGACAAATTCTTGGTTGAATCTTTTTTTTAACCGTTGTTTGTTACAGAAATAAACTTCCCAGCCGAATTCAGCCACTATCCTTCGCGGCGGAGCTCGCTCCGGTCCATTGTAAAAATCAAGACAGATTAGCAAATAAATCACTCCAGCCAATGTGGAGGTCTAATTACCTCAGCGCTTGAGGGTCAGTTAGAGGTGGACTTCGGAAGTGCATTGTTCTGAGAAGCTCGCCTCTAAATGGCCTGATTTAGTCACCAGTGAATTGATCCCCTAAAACCATCTCATTCAGAGACCATTCATACCACATGTACCGTTTTCTACCCTTTCCTCTATTGCAGTACGTACTCAACAGGGTGACTACGCCCGGCGGTTCTCACACCTCGAGAGCATGATGAACAAGGTTTCGACAAGCACGAACGAATTAAAAAAGAACCAAGCCAAACCAGCCATCCAGCAATCGTCAACTGAACCTCGTTTGGATCAGTTGCCCAAAATGACTTGTGATTTGCTTAAACCGATCGTTCGATCGGAAGTGCAGAACGCTATCGTTAATAGTAAGTCGCTCACAGTTTTCTGTGCCGCATGTTGTCCTATATGATTAACGCCGCTGCATAAAAAAGCAATGCGATAATGGGCTGTCTGATGGACTGGTTGTTCTTTTCGCACCACTAATTCATCTAGCTTGTCTGTGGTTGCCTATCGGCGGCCTACCCGGAGTCCGTATTTGTTTATCGCTCTTAACCCCTCATTACTCCTAAAGTTGATTTGAACTTGCCTTAACTCGCACCGGTCTCACCCATTTCAGATACCCAGAAGCTCATCGATCCCCTACAAAAGGCAATATTCCGTGCCATACAAGAGAGTTTAAACGGCCTTCCTTCAACTGTATCAGAAAGCCTCTCACGTTTGATGCGCGATAAGGTGAGTGATGTATCTGGATACCTGTTTTGTTCGAATATTCATATGGCGTGGATCTGGATCATTGAATGACTTTTCATGGATTTGAAGCACCCAGTGCGATGTGATCACCCGGCTTTCCGTTTATCCGTTTTTTTTTATGAATGGTCGCAGATAAACTCTAGCAGTATTTGTTTATCAGTGCGTTTTGTATCTCTGCTTTACGTCAGTTTACTACTATGATCCTTCCATTACGCACTGAAATAAGTTAGTCATGGGTGTTCAGGCACTGGTTACTCCAGAGCAGTTACCTACGAGAACTTACGTTGTCCGTTCCACCTTTCTGTCCCTCTTGATCACTCACACCGTACAGAACAATGTGTACTTTGGTTACTCGTATTTTTAGTTCGCTACTTTTTCAACCTTCAGTTTAGGGACATTGACGTCTAGCTCCGTGCATGTGTTCCCTAGGTTTTAGTTTACTTGTAGGCAAACACCTACCATACCACGTTTAAACTATGCCACCTAACCACAATCCTTGGTATAGATCACTCGTTAGTCTACTTCCTGTGCAGTAATTAGTCTCTGTTTCCGGTCGTTGATTGTCTAGTCTAATTTCGCACATGTTTATTCGGTACTGCACAGCATTGTGCGCCCAGTACCGTTAGAGCAACTCGTTATTCCTACATTCCCCCCTTTCCTGCTCAGGCTGTTCGAATTTAAACAGTGTGCCGGAGCTCATTTGCTGGATGTATGGGAACTTGGGATATTAAAATTCGAAAGCTTCAGGCGTTGCACCCAACCTCCCGTAAGGGTAGAGAGTGTTAGTAAAGCTGAAGCGTGTCAGTTCATGTGTACAACTGTTCCCCTTATTCAGAAATTCAATCCTTTTGCTTATTACCAAAATACATATTTTTAATGGATCTAATGTTACTCGTTCCCAGTCGTGACTGGAAGACTTTCTCGTTGCAAAGTCCTGGATACAGTCCGGTTCATGTCGCGTGTGATGCGAAACTTGTCTTTGATCATCCCCGTAAAGCAGCTGGCTCTTGTCTTTCACCACCGACTGTTAGAGCTGATGTGTAGAATGTATTGGCGAAAACGCTGAAATCAAATGAAATAAGTCATTTTATCGCCGCTGATTGTTTAAACGCAATTTGGAATCAACAATAAGCGTGATAGTGTTGCCTTTCCACTGTCAATCACGGGCGTGATATGCTATTCAAGTTACTTTAGTGTACTTTCGGCTCACGAATGTCCTTGTTCTATCCACACAAGGATGGACACCAATCGCTTTCCTGTTTACCACACCTGTTTTGTTTCCTGTAATGAAGCTTTTAATTTTGCGACCTCTTTCTTGCAGAGCTTCAGCAATCAGTTCTCTCGCCTTCTATCCTCTACCCTGTCCGCTGACCTCACTGGGGCGTATCGTGATTCTTTGCTACGAGTTTTCATTCCTGCACTGGAGAAAAATATACAGCGACTGTTTCAGGAACTTGATGTTGTCTTCAGAGCTGGCACACAGCAATGTGAGCATGTTTTGTTTCTTTTTTTCTTCACGTGAGCATGTTTTCTTGCTTTTGTTTCTTCACGGTTCCTGGAATTGTCTTTGGAAATATCTCCGGGTTTTTGGCAAAACTCGCAGTGTTAGTGACATTTGGCTCTTCAGGTGCTTAGTGAGCGTTTGATGTTGGATATAATTTACTTGCCATCAACCTGAGGGCCCAGTCGTAAAATGGTACATTTTGATGGTCTATTGATTTTGTCAAGTAACTTGTTCACTCGTCAATGTTGACATCGACTCTTTTCTCTCATGTACAACAACGTAAACACTGACTGTAGTGATTTGGTGTCCCACAACCACAGAAAGTTTATCTGGAAAAAGGAATTCAGTTGTATAGGAAAACTGGACCCGATTCTAGTCTGCGTGTCCAAAAACTTCCAGACAATCTTGTTAGCGACTGACTGAAAGAATCCTTTCAATATCGGATGAAAGCTACCAGACAAACCGAATGAGGCTCACAAAGACCTCATTTGGAACTCACTTATAACAGGCAATACCATCCGTTTTCTATGGAGTCATGTTTGTCAGCCTCGTATTTTGTGCGGCATTCGCAACATCCACCTACGTAGAGTATGATTGTGTTGACCACCGTAGCTCATAGTGACACATGTTTTCCGCGATAACATTGTTCCCACATCACACATGAATGTTTACTGGGACCTTGTTCCTATCTGCAGTTTGGTTTCAGCTAAATGTTTTTAATTAGCACGAGGATCAGTTGCTATTTATACTAAAGCATACCTAACCGATTCAAATGTGCTTGTTGCTTGAGGAATCAGTCAGCCTCTCAGTACTTTCCGGGCGCCATCAGCTGGATTACTTACTTACAGGGCTTCGACTGAATGGACAGCCCCAAAAACAAATAGGCTAACTAATTCAAAGTCCCTATTTTGCTTTTTCTCAGATTTGAAGGAAGTTCAAAAGCTCTCACAAGCTCAATCTGACCCGAGCACTTTGGCCAACACAATCTGTGCTGAACTAGCTCCGGAATTAAAGGTGAGCAGTCGCGACGTTCTGTTAGCCGTCACTTTGCATCTACTCTTACTTATTTTATCCGCTCCCTGGGTTTAATTTTCCGTATAGGGTCGTCTAATGATAACGTAGGATCACAAATCAAGCAGCAAAACTTCACGACTAACGCAGTGTTCTCCACTGCTTGGCTGTCACCACTGAGGTGTAATGAGGGTCGTTTGATTTTCGTGCTACTCACACTGATCAGTAGCATGAACAGTAAGCATTCTTCAGAGTGCCCCATTCCGAGGCCGAACAGCCTCACTGTCAATCTGTCACGTCAAGTCCTGTTCGTTTATGAGTTGAACTCTGAGCAACAGAAATAATGACACAACGATGCAGTAGTAGCAACGCGACTTAGTTTTTATGGGCGTGTTCTCTCGTTCTCATTGCAGACACTACTTTTTGGACGCATGCTTTCTGTTTTCCCTCTTTTCCATAGAATGTTCTCAGTTCAACCTTGTCAACGCGCGTCGATGAGCCTGGCGCCTTCAAAACGGATCCTAGAACCATGGGTACCCTTCGAGACAATGGATCTCTCCCAGCCTTTGGTACACAGGATGTGTCTTCGAAACCTACACCATATAAGAATAAAAGTCCCATTCGTCGTCCTCCACCTACCGAAGATGATCATGCGGTGCTTGCTGCACCTCCTGCGGTTCCTTCAAGAGGTATTCCTTCAACGAAATCCCTGTGGACTGTGGATCGAGGTGCAGGCGAGAACCAAATTGGTGCACCAGCCGCTCAGGCATCAGGCTCTTCTGTTGCTCCGAAACCAACAACCACTTTGACGAAAAAGGAAGAGTTCGCGCGCCTTCTAGGTCAAGCCCAAACGTTGATTGGCTCTGACCGCCTCGTAGACGCGCTAGAATTGGTATGTGTATTGTCATAATGGGGAAAAAGAACACGGCGACATAGTTCCGCGACAGGCATTGTGGGGAATTTTTCTTATTTGGTGGATTGAGTTCTCGTTCCTCATCCACAGGGTGTATCGATTTCTTGTAGCTGACTAACAAGATCAATCGATTTTCTTTTATACCAGATGAACTTCTCATTCGCTGCTTTTCCTCAGCTCCTCCAAGTTTAGTTTCCAACCTCGTTTTATATTCTAGTACTACCTCTCTATTACACTTGAACCGCACGGTCCACCTCTGCTCTGAGAGTGTGCTAACTTGCCGGATAGCATTATTTGGCTTTGACTTACCTATCTGTGAACCACCTTGTATTTTCGTATTTTAGGCTCTTGTTTCCACCAATCAGGCGCTTGTTTTGGACGTCTGCAACGACATCGACCCCGATCGACTCTTCTGATCCGGCAAATACATTATAGCACAGAACATCTTACTCTCCTTAATTCACCAGCTGAGCTGCGGAGATTTGGCTGTCCAGTTGGATTTGAAGTTAAGGTATGTTTTCCAGAGAGGATAGCTTTGGATGCCACCAGATTTCTCCCTCAAGTCCCATACCCCATTGGCCTGCATTTCGTAGGATTCATTGTGCAATGGCACAAAATCAGTATATTCTTACTTGATAGAGCTGCTTTCTGGGAGCAACCCTGTTCCTTTCATTTAAGGACATCAATTTTTCTACATCTCCTGAATGATATATTTACGATTACTGTATTTGAGTTCACTCCCATTTCTGGGACTGTGATGGGGAAGGGATTCTTTTGCACTGGGACCGCACAATAATCTGATCTAACCCTGATATGATTTGATCCGCGATTCTTCTTCATTGATTCTAGATACCTCGAAGAGGCTGTCGGTTGTCTAAACAAACGCGACCCAACTACTACACAACACGGACCAAGAATAATAAGTCTTCTAAGCCGCCGTTTAGACACTTTCTTGAACAATGCCATGGTCGGAGGAATATCCAAGCTGTCTCCTTCAGTCCACAGCCGCATTGTCAAACTAAATCATTTCGCCATATCATTGTTCGAAACTAAACCCGCTTATAAATGACTTGAACTGATTTTATAGGCGTCCGTCCATCGTTATCTGTGCCCATTTTTATCCTTGCCATCAATTTTGACTATATCATTTGCATATTTGCCTCGTGTTTTTTCAATCGGCGAAAAATTCCCAGGAGAGGTGACGAACTCAAGTTCTTCCCATGCGTTTTCTCAGGGCCACTCTGTTCTTGCATTGTTACATTTCAACAGCGACCTCAGTTTCAAGAGAAGTAGGATCCAACTGCAGTTCTTTCCCTCATTAGTCCTATTCAGCTAGGTCATTCAATGCAATTTCGGAATCTGTGTAATTGAAAGCGATTAAGTTTTCCCTTCTTGCTCGTTTTTCAGGAGGTTCCGCTGAATAGATAGGGCGGAACGAGCCATAAACCAAGGGCACTTGGGAATTCAAATGACAAAAACACAGTAGCCTGCGTGTGGTTATGCACTTAGGATCGAGCACGTGAAGGAAAGTACGTGGACGTTTTCGAGCCTGTGCATAATATTTTAGTCATCTTGGTGACGGATTATGCAAAAAATTTTACTCGCGTGACTGCGTTCGATGGGATTTACTTCACGGTACGTCGGTCAGGCGCTGCTTGAAAATCTGAACGACTAATCCCCTTTTGTTCTCCAAGTTTTCCTTTCGAAGGTCCAGCATGTTCTACAGGACGTCTGAATGGAAAGCATTCAAAGATACTCTGGGCATGCAAGTTTCTTGGTTTTTCACATTAAGGAATATCAACAGCAGGGATTTCGACGAAGTACATCTTTCGATCTAGGGATTCTCCATGTACACCGATGCTTTGTATTCCATTTTAGTGGGTTTCTGGACTTATCACAGGGATGCTGTTGTGCAGTTGACAGTGGAACTCCTCAAAGAACAGTTGCCAGTCTGTTACCTCTCACTCAGTGTGCTAACTGCCTCTGTCAGTCTCCAGTTCCCAAGTGTTATCCATATCAGCGCACGGTTTAATTGCTGCGCGTGCTTCTCTCCCTGAATCTCCAACGGATATTGTGACTACCTTGATGAGCCATGCCATAACTCCGTATATGTCCCCCAAATAGGTAGGCGACGTGGTCCGTATTACCAGGCTGCATGCCTGGAATGCATTTCGACGTTCGATACAAGCAGGCGGAAAGTTATAGTTCTATTTGTCACATGTGGTTTCTATGCGTCTTCATTTATGATTACAAACGCTGCGGTGGGAGTAAAAATACACGATTCAGTTGACAGATTTTTCCATGGAGCAACTCACAGTATCGAACCACAATAACACAATTACGCGGGTGTATTGATCATGCCATATATCACATCAGTAGGCTATGGCTGATTTTCATGTCTCCACGTAATCGTAATGTATGAATGGAAATGAATCACTCAACACAAACTCTCTAAACATTCAGGTGTGAAATGGAATAACGTAGCAAGAACAACAACAACCGGCTTTGATGTTTACTCGTCATCCGGGTCTCGAGAGGGTTGATGGAAGCTGTGCAGGCATCGTGAAGATGCGTCCGTCTATCCACAATCCGTACCACGCGGACGGCCCATTTTTGCATCCTTACACATTAGCTTGCGTTGACATTGCAAGTGAAGGCTGCTACGGCGCGTTTAGTCCAAGCAGTTCGAAGCAGTGCGGACGGCCTAGTTAGTTCAGAAACCAGATCTTAAAGGACCGTATCGTCAATGCGATGTTGGAGATAGTGAAGTCAACAGTTGAATATAATGTCGTCGTGCTATCGTGGAGAAAGTATGCATACGCACGGTCATTTCAATACACTGAAAAGTAATCAATCGACTGCTGAAACAGAGGAAACTAAAGGGAAACGTGGGGAACAAGTTATGCCCGATTCTCAGCACAAAAAGAAACAAGGTAAAAGTCTGGTTTGACGAAACTAACTTTAACTTATTCCCCCGCGAGTCACACAAAGTAGGTTGCAAGGATTGCATCCAACGGTTAATAAAGTGCAGATTAAGACCCGCGATCATGTGTGCGTGTGATTATGCTCGCTGTCACCTTTGGCTTCAAAGGGTCTTTCTGAGAGGACCGCTAATGGCAACCAGATTACTGATTTCGTGCTCAATTTCGTGTACTAATTCCGATCAATTACATACGGAGTCTCGGCAACTCTCATGTTGGACGCAAATGAATGCTAAGAGGCACCCCAGGAGGCCCTCTAAGTAGTAGAGGACCGTTTTACTTAAAGAATATGGGATTGTTACTGCACGCTGTTCCAACAGGAATACGAATGTCTGCCAATGTCAAGATATTTGATCTAGCTGGGTCATTATATGTATATAAATTCGCTAGCACATTTCTCCATTTCATTGAGAGTTTTCAAGGTGGGAGAGCAAACTTCATTACTGGAAAATGATGGCTTATGGAAAGGCCAGTTGACCTGCGAACCACTGCACAACTGTAATTTCCTAGCCACCGACAATTCTCAACTAAACTGTGGTTGTTGCATGTGTTAGTGAGCCAAGACCGTATCATTTGGGATCCAGTCATCCCTAACAGTTTTAATTCCATCTGGATGCATTTGGCCCATACAGCGCAGTGAGGAGCAATTTGTCCTTCGAAAGACCACTGACGGCTTATTCGATTCGTACCCATTGGAGTACGGCTAGGTTCAACATGGGCACATGGGATCTTTGTGATGTCATTCACCAGGGTACTAAATCGATAAACTATCCAATAACAGCACCTCACTGTCATCAGGTGAAGTGACTCAGTGAACACCTTACTTGTTGGGCTCATGTGAACCGGATGCACTTGATTACTGTCAATCCATCATCACAGTATATTGTCCTAACACGAACAACATAAGTTGGCTACATCCGGACCAACTGCCAGCTGCCTAGAATTTATTACCAGCCGCCAAAGACGTGCAGGATGACTCTACCAATGTGGGAGCGATTATTCTCAGAAGCTTCTGAAACATGAGCATATTTACCCCATCTGAATTAACCTATCCATCACTCAATAGACCTCCGACGGTAACCAAACACGGTTCGAATCCATCCTGGACGTCTCGTAATAAGATGCCAAGGCCAGCCTGGAAACGGGGCGTGTATGTCCAACTAATAAAGGCGCAAGGCATTTCATTGACACTACACGACGCACAAGACTAATGAACACCACCAGTTTCGTCCTTGCTGGCTTCGGTGCAACACATTCAATTAGAGCATTATCAACGAGAGACTCAAACGAGTCCTCCGTTAACACACACCTAAGTTGAATCTAGATGTGGATTTGTGGACAAGTAAGACAATACTTTCTTTGCCACTTTTGGATATCCTTGTCATCTTTGTCGTATCTTTCTAACGGAATGATCGGTTGCCCGAGACCGGTCGACGAATGTATTCCTCTGCTGCCAAAAGGTTGAAACCCTACAAAAGGGTCACGTGACTCATCTCACCTATGCTCATCCGTTGAGCCCCAATAAGGGTTAGAGCTTTCGTGTGGCTGTTTTTTTAGAATCTGACCTTACGTAACAAAACACGAACAAGATGGCTTAAAGCTTATCAGATCCTTCCTAAGCACAGAAGATTAGATAGATAAACAACCCAACTATTCATTACCAGCAAGATTACCTCGAACAATCAACCTTATGTTTCTAAAAGACACCCAAACGCGCACTGATGATGTCTCCCCGACTGGTGAAGAAACGTTTACAAACAAATCGGCCACCAACAACTGAAAAACACTCAACCAATAAACAAGGACCGGCCACTTTGATGCCATGAGTGTCTCAAATTAGAAAACGCGACCCAGGCCTTGTAGACTCGTGCACTGGCCTCATCTGACACTACACGACTTCCAAGGTACCTAAAACGCTCCACAACTTCCAGCGCCCCTCCTTGGATTGTTAGTGGCGTGTTCAGTGACTTCATGTCCAGTAGCATGACCTTACACTGTGTGGGTGCAAAGTTCATGCCAAAGGAGGGTGTGTCTTTGGTCAGTTCATCCAAAAACACATGCGCCTTCTCTCTGTCTCGGAGAAGACGAGAACGATATCTGTATACATTTGAGTGATAGCCAGGAACGTTCAGAAAGACGGGTTGAAGAAGAAGACGGATATTCAGCGAAGTATGAAAGCCATTACCAGCAAACTCAGCTGCGCTAGTCGCTGCCGTCTTCCTGGATGGGGACCCCGAGACGGGCCACGTCAATGGCTAGAGACATTATCAGACATGGCCCAGTCGCTCCCTCAATGGCGTTCGTGCATCCAAGCTATTGCCTTCAATGCATAGCTCCTTTTCCAACCCCCACTTGACAGCCCACTGACAGTGCTGGATTTATGCACCAATTTACCAGCTCGCGCGTGCAATGCGCAGCTACCTACCCCCCCCCAAATCATCGGTGAGCGAAACTTCGGCAGCTACAACCAGTGTAGGACGAGTACGCGGTTCTTACAGCTTACAGCTTGCTTTCCTGCCCAATAGCCTGTAACTATGCAGTTGATGTGTTCTAATGAATAACGGTGCGAAGACCATCTTCTTTTCAATGATAGTATCGCTTCCAGTATTACCACGATTGCCACCACTAATACAGATGCTTCTGTTACAAATAATAATATTGTCGGAGCACAAATATATCTCTATTTATGTCAATAATCGGGGCGCGAATTTTCGATATCCTCCACACGGCTGGACCTTACTGTAATGTCCAGTAAAGAATGAGGACACTTGGAAATAACTCAGTTTATTGCTGACGGCAGAGCCCCTACTTCGAAGCTCCATCACAAACGCTGAAAACAGTAATGTCATCAGACTGTTCCCAATCGACAGAGAAAACACGTTTTAGCAAAATGATTGTCTATCCACTATAGCAACGATTCGGAAGAAAGACTATCATCGTAGACGTTGGGCAGGGAATTAAGGGCCGCTGGTGACCAGTTTGTCGCCTTTTAATGCAGTTCGCCGTTCAAAATCTTCCATTGCAAATTCACGTGTAAGAACCACATTATCTGGGAAGCCAGGTTGTCCCTAAATATGTAAAGGTGGGTAAGCATATGAAAAGGAAACCAACTGGGAAATGCATTGGTTTAGAGTACATGTCAACGCGGATCCCCCTTGCGCTGTATTCCCAGTCCTTTTTTTCAATATTCAAAGCAAATGAAGTTTATACTTACCTTTGGAGCATACTTGGCTTTGTACCAGATTACCCACCCTGCTAACAAACCTAAAGTAAATTTGTGAAGCGTCCAACGAAAGTAGCGTGCAGAAGTAGGACCCTGTAATCGAATACAAAAAGCGATAAGCACTTACAATCACGGGTTTGACGAGATCTGCAAGGACATCGAACGGTTTTCGATAGGCGCGGCGAAAAATGTTCACTCGAGTCCATTCTGGAACGGCAACTGGCTCGCGTTCTGACAGAACCAGATCATCTAACCATTGCTTCCTGAGCGCCCGATCTTGGTCATTAAAAGGAAGGGCCAATCTATCTCTTTCCAGAGGAGTTGGTTCGATATTCACCGGGTAATATTTACTGCCCTTTTTTGCAATGGCCTGGCGGATAAGCTGCTCCTTGTACAACTTCTTCTGAATTTCCAAAACTTCCGGGTCCACAGTGGACCCCGTGCTCGTGGATATTTCACCCATGGATAATAATCTTGGTGTGCGAGCGACCAGAATTACCTAAGCGTAAAGCTGTCAGCTGGAGAGCTATCAAGGAAGAGTAAACAAAACAACAATAGTACAATAAACCCATGGAATTACTTTGAAAACTGGCAAAACTAAATCGTACTGTCACCGGCACGGTGAAGTCCGCTAAAGTTAGTCGACACTGGCTTGAAGGCTTGTCAATACACTGTGATGACCCCCAAATGGTCAGCAGCTCACGCTACTTGTAATGCTTTTATTAATACCTGGTCGCATTCGCTAGTACAGGATATGTTTTTGGCATTTACACTGCTGGCTATAAAGCGCTTATAGGCTATTCAACATGGGCAACTGCATAAAAGCTTGCGACACAACTGTACAAGGGTTTGAAACGATGTCCCTTCGAGCATATACTCACTGATGGTTGACTGCAACCTGATTGTGAGTTGTTTATAGGGCACAATAAAGCCAATCTGAACATGTTTCACTAGACCGTTTTAACTCGTATTGCCTAGATGCACTTTCGAACTCTGTTACTCATTCCAGTAGCGTGCAGGTGTAACCGGCTGCATAGCGCCACGAGGCGGAACGACAGAAATCTTGCGTACAAATGTTTTATCTGCACATCCCTATGTCGAACAATCGTTGAGTAGAAATGTCAATCCTACCCATCCATGGAAAATCCAAACATAGGGGTCCGCTGCCTTTTAAGAATACAGCTACGACAAACTGTAAGTGTACATGAATCAGTATTATAAGCACTGACTGGGGCGCACATCAAGTCAGCCTTGTTAAGTCCCACTGAGCTTGATAAGACCGAAGCGGCCTTCCGTGAGAGTCGAATTACACAACCAACCTTAATGTGCATACGGGTCGATGAGTGGTCTGGGTTTTTTGTGCAGTGTGAAAAATTACATAGTACAGTCAATTCCGTATACGTCGATGCGCTGGAGATACAAGGATCTTGTGGAGTGAAGCTGATTTTGGTTCAGGTCTTTTCTAACACATGGATTTGAGCTGCCATAGCACTCGGAAGCGAATTTAGTACTTTAAGCAAAGGATAGACTGATGTAGACAGGCTCAGTTGAGCCGTAGTGTGTGGCTGTGTACATATATGAGGCTTTATTTGGTTTCAAGTACACATGAGACATGCTTCACAGACGGCGACGGTCAAAAGCAATTAGTAACACCCACAGTGGCAAAGTTTCGTGGCCACAAAGTAGTGTTATTGAGGGCGAGATGGACTAGTAGTTACAGCGCGAATTTACTGACCGAAAAATCGTGTTCCGAAGGGTTTTTTGTGCAGTGTGAAAAATTACATAGTACAGTCAATTCCGTATACGTCGATGCGCTGGAGATACAAGGATCTTGTGGAGTGAAGCTGATTTTGGTTCAGGTCTTTTCTAACACATGGATTTGAGCTGCCATAGCACTCGGAAGCGAATTTAGTACTTTAAGCAAAGGATAGACTGATGTAGACAGGCTCAGTTGAGCCGTAGTGTGTGGCTGTGTACATATATGAGGCTTTATTTGGTTTCAAGTACACATGAGACATGCTTCACAGACGGCGACGGTCAAAAGCAATTAGTAACACCCACAGTGGCAAAGTTTCGTGGCCACAAAGTAGTGTTATTGAGGGCGAGATGGACTAGTAGTTACAGCGCGAATTTACTGACCGAAAAATCCGTGTTCCGAACGCGAGCTCTGCAATGTATTGCACACGCCGAATCGTCCTTTGCCGAAGAGAGCTGTTTCTCGTGACCAGCTCGGACTGGCACAGGCGGAGAGGTGAGTAACTTTTGACTGGGAGAGGGTATGAGAGAGAGAGAGAGTACGAAATGCCTTAGTACTGTCGGTGCGGCCCGCATTCCAGCATGGGGTCCTAGTGATTCTCCTTGTGCGCTGTTGGACACACTGGGATATATAAGTGCTGACTGAAGTCAATCGCGTACTTATTGTCAGTTTCTACCAAGATTGCTGAAATGAATGTTTGGATGCGTGATTTATTTTTGTAGGTTAGAACGACGTCTATAGTCCATCCATTTTTATTCTTTTGTTTAAAACGGGGCTTTCAAATAAGTCACGGTTCCAACACCGATGTTGTGACGTCGGCGATAATGAACAACGCTCATGGACGAACGAGGGTTCAAAAGGTATGTTCTCCTGAGTTCAGCACGAAAAGTGATACCCGTCAGGGTTGCCTCGTAGTGCAAACCTAATTTCTCTGGTGTCAGATGTCTTCCAAAGAAAACCTTCAGTTTCCCGGAGTGTGCGGATTTCACAGTACTTTATTTAGATTCCATCTAAAAATAAGTAACCTGGATAGCGCTGCTACGCGTTTTTGAATGTTAGAAGTGGTTCATAAACCCACTTTTCAACTGACAACATTGCGAATGAAGTGAATGTTATAATTTTCAAGGCTCATTCCGCATTTATCCAACTCAGGCATATGCGGTGATGACTTTCGTCAGCCAGATAGAGTGCGTCTAAAACTATGATAGTAATAATAATAATAATAATAATAATAATAATAAAACAATCGTTCAGTTGTAAAGCCCTTTCGGTGCCTAGATTCCATACCGAACGAAGGAAGCGCGAGGGGTGGGATACAGGCGAAGTCGGAATGCAGAGGTCAGGCTCAAAACATGGACCTCTGGGTGAATACATACGCCCTCTAACCACTGAGCCATCTCGCCCGCAGCCCAAACGAACCATGGTTCTGAGACAACGGTTATCAAAGACCAAAAGACAATCAGACACCAGCAACGCTTCCACAATCTTCTCCTTGAATTGTAAGGGATATTTTCGCAGACTGAACGTTCTGAAGCATAACTTTGCACTTTGAAGGTGCAAGGCGCATGACAAAAGATGGTATGATGGTGGTCAGTCTATTCAACAGGACTTTTGCTTCACTTTGGTCTTCAAAGATGAGGGTGATGTCATTTGCGCACTTCAGATTGACAATGTTCTCACCAGCAACGGTTTGAATACTGGCGTTTTGAAGGTGGTCCAGCGTTCGCCTCATCATTTCATCAATGAAGTTGAACAAGAATGGAGCGAGTGGGTATCCTTGTGTGACATCACTTTCGTAGGGAAGCTTTTGGAGAGCTCGCCATACACTCCCGCCCGCCTAGAAGTATGTGAATATGTGTGAAGATGCGATAAACGCAGCCTCTACCCGTTGTAAGTCCCTTTTGATTCTCACGAGTCAAGGGTTCACGTGCCGCCAAAAGAAGTTAAAGAATCAGTGACGCCAGAAGCCTTATTACAACAGGAGTCAAACGAACACCTCTGTGTTTACTACATTCACTTCGAGTACCTTCTTTGAAAGTGGGCACCAGTATCGATTCACCCGTTGTCTAGGACGGTTTCTTTCGCCCAGATAGATCCAAATAGGCTGGACAGGCACTGGCTAACAAGTCCACCGCCAACCTTGAAAACAAAAGGTGGAAGGTTGTCAGGACCAGCAGCAACATGACGCTTGAGTAGGAAAATACACACGGACAGTTCTGAGGCTCAAGGCGGCTTCACATCCACGGTCCACCCTTCTGTTGAAGGTCAGGATTGTGGATTGAAGGTAGCAGTTGGCTAGCTGAATGCTGCTCGAATTACTGTACCCAGCGGTCCGAACGTTCTGGTTTGCCGCACATCAGGGAGCTATTTCGGTCCCTGATTAGTTCGATAACAAGATGTTTCCGGTGACCAGTCAAACGAATCAAGTGGAACAGCTTGTGGGCGTTTCCAGCATTTTATGCATCTCACATTTCTTCGGCCTTTCAGGTCAACCAAACTTCTGCACGGATACTGAGTTTCACCTGGCGTCGGATGATGTATCTGGTTGGCGGCCAGGAGGTATCTGTCACCGGGTCTCCAGCAAAAACACGGTCCCATCAGAGATCCTATGTTTGGATGAGATGGGCTGGCTTGTACCGCAAACAGACATTCCAGCTTTGAGTAGCGCTTTGGATATCTTTCCCCAGTGACTGTTTATATCCGACATCGTACCGCCCAACAGGTGTTTGAGGAACTGGTTCTGATAAATTCGTTGGACTTCTGGGTCCACTAGCTTCTCAATGGCTAAGCGAGGTGTGCGCGATTTGCGTACACCTGGAAAGTACGATGAAAAGCAACACCGTACAACTGCATGATTGGAATCCACGGTGATGTTCCAGAAGGAGCGGCAGGCGGTGATCGACCCTCGCCACAAAATAACTGACGGCGATGTTGTCCATCTGGATTCGGGGCTGGTTTGTTGGTGGGCACATTGTCAAGCGATTCCAGCTGTTCCGGAAATTCGTCATCATCATCATTACCATCATCATCATCGACAGCATGACACCAGTGTTCAACACCGATGCTTCACTGCCGTACAACCATGACTTATTTGTAAGCCTTATTGTAAAGAAAACAATAAAGGTGGATGGGGGAGGGACTTACTGCTAGCTTAACACAATCATTCCGAGGTGCCTACACCTCCAGACATTCACTCAGGCAATCTGGAGAGAAACTGACAACAAGAACGCCACTGACATCGGTTGGCAGCCATATCTTGTAGTGTCTCCAACCAGGCACAGTGAGGATCACGCGGTCCCCATCCTGGAAGGCGAGTAGCACCGACAGCACCCAAGCGTTTCGTGATCTCCTTCATACTCCTCTGCCAAGTCAAGGGTTGGCCACCTCTCTGTTTACGCCACTCTGAATTGGGCATGGAAAACAGCACTCTCTTCGGCAAACGATGGTTCGGCATACGTAACACATGTCCCAACCAACGTAGCTTCTGGTGCTGGACACATTCTTCAATGGAAGTACAAATTCGTACTGCAAAGGAACACTCTGTGATGCGCACACATCTGTAGCAAGCGACCCCCGTTGTCCGAGCGCCTCGTGTCCAAACCAAGACGATCACCCAATATGGCCTCAGCAGCGCTTAGTCTACCTACGTGGACGTTCGTGTCACCAACAGCCACAACGATATATGAGCTATTAGCTTGCCGTAGAAGGGCACCTGGAGCGTCATAGAAACTGTCCTTGGCAGATTCAGGGCTATAGTCAGTTGGGGGGTAAGCAGACACAATAAACAGGGTGTGATGGACCTCAATTCCTCCAGGTTCTCTCATGGATGTTACCAAACGAACCGCAGAGGCGACTATCAAGGAGTATCCAATCCATCAGAGACGCTTCCGCCCGGTCGCTCAATACAATACCCACCCTAACATATCCAGTTGCAGCGGTCATAGGTGCGCACTCGGAACCTGGAAGAGAGCGAGGGGCTGTCAGTTCGATCCTGCATCCCTGTTTCTGACAGACGACATACATCAATGCAGAGGGAATCCAGTGTATGAGCAAGACTCACCTGTTGAACTGCTTACTGCCTTGCAGCCACACAGCGATACAACTGCACTGTGGTATGTCCTTTGAGACCCAGCTATGTCTGTTTGACTCAATAAGTGACGCAAATAGGCAAAAACAATTCCGCCCTTTGAAATCAGTGCGTTCACTTCGGCTGTTGCACTATCACTAGATCTACTGAAAATTCTGAGACACGTATATCGGTCCACAGCTTCCAGTATCACTCCTTGAATAATTATAGACAACTTCAAAGATTGCGTGTCCATCATCATCCAGCAGCACGAACATGTGTTGTGAGCGTAAGCTACAATGCCGAAGGACTGGATGTCCTCGGTCATCTTTTCTAGAAATACTTGCACTTTTTTGCCTTATTCAAAAACAATGCCGTCTGCGTATTCCAGGATGGCAAGGTTCCTGGTCGAAAAGAGCTAGACACCAAAGTTTTGGAGACCCTCACGTGTTCGCTTAATTACTTGAATGAAATTAGACAAAAATGGAGAGAGCGGACATCTTAGTAGGGCTTGATTGCTCATAGGAAGATTTTTCGAGCTAACTATACTTTCATGCTTCCACAGTGAAGAGTTGTACACCTAAAATTGGTCAGCTCCTATTAGGCCGGAATCTCACCTGCTGCTCTCGGGTAGGATCGCGAGCTACCTGGTGCTTCGTCAGTCGCTCGACGAAGGTAACCGCTCTGCTGGGAAGGAAGCGATTATCACACCAATATACAAAACTGGTGACTGACTATCACCCGGCAGCTGCAGGCCTATTGTCCTCACTAGCGTACCGTGCAAGGTGATGAAACACATTCTGAAGCGGGCCATCTTATATCAACCTACTTCCAAAAACTTGATGCCTCCAGTTCAACACGGATTCCTTCCAAACAGTTTTACGTGACGAAAATGCCCGCATTTATGGACGGCTTAACCCAAGCTAAGGACAAGAAAGTCGTCAACGATTTCCCAGAGGTTCCTTCAAGTCCCCATCTACTTTTTGCAGACGACTTGAAACCCCGGAATACAAATACCAGTGCCCTCCAAGTGGATGTAATAATAATAATAATAATCGTCCAGCTGCAGCACGCCTTCGGTGCCTAGCTGCCATGCCACACGGAGGCACGAGGGCTGGGATAAGGCCAGATTGCCCAAGCCTAGACAGGGCAAGTCGAATGGCAGAGGCCGGACTCGAACCACGGACCTTCCGGTTAGTAAGTTCGCGCTCTAACCACTGAGCCACCTCGCTGCACGTTCCTCTGAAAGATGAAAAGTGCCTCCATATGTCATTCGTAGGAGACTCGGAGAATGCCTTTGTCATGCATGATAAGAAACGATCAGAAGACATCATAAGGATAGATGCCACAAAGGATTTGGTTATGTTTTTTTTTCAAAAATGTCTCTTTCACTGCACCATTAGAGCTCGGCTCAGAAGCCATTCGCTGTTCTGAGCCAGATGATTCAGCGCACTCTCTCCCGTATCACTCGTATGGGCTTCCAGATACCCTATGGGGTCCAAGTCAGACCGCTTCTTGAATATGTCAACCCAGTTGTCTACACAGGAAGCAAGATAGAAATAACACTTATTGAGCGTGCCCAACGAGTTGCTGCTGCTGGCGTTAAATCCGCGGACTATGAAAGGCGCCTCGCGGTGCCTGTCATTTTCCCCTTGAGTATCGTCGACTCCGAGGAGACCTAGTATTTACTTATGCCCTCATTGAACAAGGTTTGGACAACAGGTTTTTCATGGTTCATCTACCTAGCACACGGCGGAGACATGGTAAGATTTTCAAGCTCAGAGCGCACAATTTTATTAGGCAAAAATTTTTCTCATTTTGGATGGCTGTTGTGTGGGACAGTTTTTCTGACTGTTGCACAACCTACACCCAGTGCCCAGTTTAAAGCACTATTAGACTCTTCTTTTATGCGTTAGCAAGCTTACTGCTGAGAATTTAAAGAGCAGCGCCACATCATTTTTTCGCTTGCGCCATTCGGGTGAACGGCAGCCGCTGAACGACGAGAACAAAACCGACCCGGGAAACTTGGGTGAAAGCCTCGATCCGGTGTGTCAATTTCTGAAAAGGCGAGGGAAGACGACTGACACCAATAGTTTCCTTGCGATAGTAATCAAGCTGATTCTTGTAGTAATTTCGGCATCCACTAAAGGTTTGTTATCTGAAAACGGGCGCCACGGCCGATCCTTCTCAGATTCCGGGACAGTCGTTTTTTCCAAGGTACCGGCCGATTTATCAGACTAGCGCTGGTGGGGGACTTGAACCCCATAATCACCATTGTCGAAGCCAGTATTCCAGCATCGCGTACTGGTGCTTAAATGCCACGAAAATGTGAAGGAAATGGTTTAATAAAGAATGGAAAGAAATGGTGAGGACTAAGCGTGGAGAAATCTTAATGAAAACGATCAAGAATAAGGCATCTACGGATTTGGACAGAACTGAAATAACCAAACACCACGTTGGAGTAAGGCACCATCAGCTGGAGCAGCTCAGCGTTCTTTGCGAGTCTCATCCGACATGAGTACAGTGCACCAGCCATTACGCGTAAGGCGGAGCCACACCGATTTACCACTTGCACCGCCACTACCAAGGGGTCCAACCAGCGGTTGACACTATTACCACAACCTCGTAAACAACCTCTCGCTGGTTTGTCCCATACAAATTGGACTTGCACGATTAATACCTTATTTTCGACTGTATAGTCGCCGAATGGCGCGGTAGGTATCACTGATTTGTGTCAACAACACTCTCATCACGCGCATGTGGAGACCGTGTAAGTCGCCGGGAATCATATTTAAAAAAACGTTACACCTTACATAGAGGCGGAGAGCGACTGGAACAAACACTTAAAAACGCTGTCGCAGAGCATATAAACCAAATCAACGTTCTATTCATTATTAAAATCCTACGGATCCCTTCATGAACTCCTCACAGGTAAAAAATGACGAGCCAAAAAGTTGTGGTAATAGTGGTATTCTCCAACAAGCACACAATCGGCCCGAAGATCGGACTGCTCGCGGGCCGCAACATGAAGGAGAAATCCGATTGGTCAGAAGTGCTGATACGATAGCCAACCATTATTCAGTATCAAATGTCTGCCACCAATCTTTAGAAGCACAGTGCTCGCATCTGAAAACCCTTCGCCAGCGCAATAAAAAGTAGGCCTAAATATTGCATCACAATGATCTAACTTGTGTTACCGTGATTTGTTTTAATTAATCTTTCATCCAAATTTCTGATGTGCATTCGACTTTGAACTTGCTGAGCTGCGCGGGCGGACGCTCAGTATTCGCACAATGGAATGGACACTTCAAAAGCTACGACGTATCTCTGAGGGATTATTAGAGGCAGCGTACGATTGCAAACCTTTGAGCCCCATCTAGGCCTCCCTGGTCTCATTAATACTAGGAAATTCTTTCACCAGAATTTTCCTCCAGAGCTAAGACTGCTTCGGTGGAGATGAAATTTCATGAGCTGCAAAAATGTGAAAGCCGATTAGAACATATACGGTGAGCAACGAACTGCAACATTTTATTCCACTCGCAAAGGTTCTCCAGCTAAGGGCGCTGTGCGGCCAATGGGCCCATGCTACGTCTTCAGAAGTGGTTTAACTTATTTTCGTTAAGAAATTGGTGGCTGGGTTCTTTTCATCCTTCACGATACTTGCGATGACTTTAAATGAATATATGAAAAATAACTATGTGAATTTTGTCCGTTCATTCAGCAACTGGAGAACCAACGCTTCTCTGCTCTGCGAATGGCTGTGCTGCAAATGCATCAGCCAGCCTTCAAGACAAACGCAAAGTTGAGGAATCGGGGGATCCTGATTGGCTTAGCGTGCTTTCTAATAATGACCGAAGAGGAGTTGGGCTATTTCAGGTCCCAGTTGAAGTTTGAAACGCCGTCGTATCACGTGAGATAGTCTGTGTCCGATGAAACCGGCAAGGTCCTTAGAACCCAAGATATATACAATTACCGGCGGAAGTTCTAACCTTCTATGTATGGGTAAGTGACGCATAGCTTGGTTTTTATGGTGGCAGGCAATACGTCTTTGGCTCGGACAAAACTCCGGGAGACCGGATGCGTGCTTCTGTTGCAGTCAGGAGAAGTTCACTGTAGCCACAGTTGCCTCTCCAGATGGCAGCAGACAGTGCTGTCTCGACGCTTCCCAACCTCTGTGATCAAAGATGGTATGGGTACCGGGCGTCCGGTTATGTATGCTTCGTAGAAAGAGAACAGTGCACTCATATTTGTAAACTGTTCGATTTGTTCAGGGAACAGATGGGCGAGCACATTTGAGCGGAGGCTTTTGTCATTGACAAGTTGGTGGCCGCGAGTGCAGCGAGAGTAATGTTCGGCATTGAAGTCATGTTGTATTGCTCCCGCACTGGAAGAGTGTGATGATTAGAATAGTGGTAGGTATCGTAACTACCGAATGTACGTGTAGTATAGAAGTCCAAATATGGACGAATGAATATCGTATATTCTCGTATATCGCGGGCGTACTCTCAATCGCATCGTAAAACAAAGGCATATAAAAATACACTAAACAGAATGAATAGAATAGAGTCAATGTTCACCACATCCACCACACGTTGAATGAGCGTGCGGGTGTTTATAGTCTCTAATAGGTTGGAACCTTAAACGTTCAGATCTTCTCAATGTCGGATTGTCAGGTTCAGTGTTTGTTTCATGCTCATCAGAACCATCTGTAAGAGAATCAGAAAGGTCATTAGTGTTTGAAGCAACAGACGTATTGCCGCCAAACTGACCTCTAGCATTGAATTCGACCTGATCAACATGCCGTCTGTGACTTGAGAGATCTTCGAGGTCAAGAACCGTGACCATACGATTCCCGTTCCTCCCAATAACAACACCAGTAGATGGACGTAGATCGTTACCCTTGAAAAATGTTACGTCGGCAGTCCCAATGCATTCCAGGTTCGTGCGTAAGGATCTC